TTTGTAAGCTGTAAATGAGGTAGGCCACTGTCAACATCCTGGTTTAATTTTGTAGCCACGGTTTGTACATTAATGAAGAGATGGAAATAGGTCTGAAAATGTGTCTCCACTGTCTGACATGCAAAATAAAATTTTGCATAAACTCAAACTTTCAGTCTGAGTATGTTTTTTGAATTGAATTTATTACATATGCCCAGTTGGGAGAAGAATCAGAATGCTTTTAATGAACGATTTCTCTTCTTGAAATAAGACCAATACATTCATTATACTGTGGCAGTATGAAAAAACGTGCGAGGATTTTTAATATGTTATGGCCGAGCGGAGGAGGGAAATCAATTATCCGGAAGTGAGGAAATGTGTATTTAAGGTGGAGCTGCAGGAGAGCGCAGCAGTAATTAGCAGATAGATGCAGGTCAGCTGAATCGAGTCAGACGCTGTTGCTGCATTGTGGAGACCTCGCTGTGTTTGTGCAGGGTGGATCGCTACGAGCGTGAGTTGCCGGGCGATCGTTTGAGTGTGCGTGCTGCACCTCCGGACACCAGCTGCAGAGCGAAGCAAGTCTCTTAAACTGACAAGTGCGAGCGGGATCTCAAGGTGAATTGCTGTTGTTCATCTCCTAAACCTCATGTTAAGAAAACTTCCCCCTGCCATTAGCGGCCAGCAATCCATTCGTATCTCAAAAACACACACGCTTTTTTTTGTCACACAAATATCGTATAACGTGCGCCCTTTCACAAAACATTTAACGTTAGTAATCCTTGCTGTTTGGTATTTGTATTATCTACAAATATAATCAAGTGTTTAATTGTTTAATGTGATCTAAGAATTCTATATTTAATGTTTTCTTCAGTGTTTCTTTTGTCTCTTGTTACTACTTTCTACACATTGGATCTTAAGGAGTGTTGAAGCTGCTGAGGTTTACATGCATCAGTGAAACTGCTACCCCAGAGGCACCTTCTTTTTTCTTTTCAATTTTATTATTTCCTTGTCATTGTTGGACTACAAAATCGGTAGAAAGACTATATTGGAACTTAGCCTTTTGAACTTTGGTGGTGTAACGGGGCTGACGAGACGTGAGACGTGCGGATCCATATGCAAGCTTTATTAAAGCAGAGAGGAGGTCAGAAACACAGGCAGGGTCGAACGGTGGCAAACAGGTATATGGCGGACAAGACACAAGAATAATCCTAGGGCTAGCGAAGGTC